AAAGAACAAAGCAGACAAAATCCGGGGTAACGAAAAATCACGGAGAGATGGAAAGAGGAAGATGGGCCGCCCGAGTTCCTTTTGATTACCTTTTTTTTTTCTTTTTTTTTTCCCCAAAAGATGTCAGCTTGTATTATATTATGCAAAATAGTGACTTGAGGCCGGTTGATTACCTATTATGGAAGACGACGACGAATGTACGACGTCGAATGTATTTCGGATAAAAGATCAGGGGGGGAGGGAAAGAGGAAAGGGGGGGGAAAGAGGGGGGGAGGCGGTAGCTCACGACCTTTCGCTTTATGACTCGTAGTCGAGGAGAGACAGAGCAGGAATGCCAGGGGCCCAAGGTGGAGTGTAATCGGGCCTCGCTCCGCTACTCATCATCAATGCTATTTTGTAACTTTTATATCTCTTCGACTGCCGTGGCTTGAGATATCGAACCTCTCCAAAAAAAAAAAAAAAAAAAAAAAAAAAAAAAAAAAAAAAAAAAAAAAGATATCGAACCTCGCTCCACTACTAATCATCGATGCTATTGTGTTTTTGTATTTTTTATAGGCTTGAGATATCCGCCCTCGCTCCACAACTCACCAACAAAATGTGCAAAATGAGAATGAATCTTCGCCTAGAACACGGAAAGATACGCCGCTATGTTTTTTGTCGTTTATGCATGCAATGAGCGATGGAGCGAGGGCCATCATTGTCGGCACGGGTGGTGGTTTAGGGCCGGATCCCACTGGCAAAGAGGATTGGAGTGTCTGAATCTGGACGTGTTCCACGCACAGATGCAGAATGTAGATCAACCACAAATGTTTGCACCTGTCCTCAAAGACGTCCACATTCAGACAATTACTACAATCCTCTTGGCCAGTGGGATCTCGCCCTAAGTAGTATGTTCATCAATGAGGGCATACTCGCAACTAGGACTCTTTTTTTTTTTTTTTTTTTTTTTTTTTTTGCAACTAGGACTTTTTCGGCTCAGCTCGGGACGTGATTGCGGTCAGATGCATTCAGCGCCAGCTGTAAGGCGCCGTAAGATGCATCTGACGGTTAGGAAATTGCTACCTAGTGAGAGGCTCTACCGGTAGCACTATTCTGAATGTATCTTACCGGAGTAACGCCCAGAGAGGGATGCATCTGACGGTTATCACGTCCAGACAGAGCTCATTAGAAAACGACCTCGTGTGGGTATGCCGTCCCCTGCGATTTTTTTAATTTTTAATTTTTTACTTTTATGTTTTCTATTAGAGAAAATTTTCCAAATGCCCCTGAAGTTTGCGTTTATTTGCGGCGTGCCCCTCTGGCGGCCGACGTACCTTGTCGTGCCCCTCTGACGACGAATGATGTTTCCAGAATACCCCTGGCGTCGTTTGGGCCTCAATATGTTTCATATGCCCCTACCGGTACCGGTACCAAATTTTCAGTATGCCCCTACCGGCTGCCCGTTGAGAAACGGCAGTAAAGTTTCCCATATGCCCTTACCGGTACCATTCATCTTTCCAGCAAGCCCCTGTCGCCGCTGTTGACACTTGCAGTCCCTACGAAGGGAAGAGGAGGGAAGAGGAGGGAAGAGGAGTAGGGAGGACAAGGACTATGACGATGACGGATGAGGGAAGAACGAGGGAAGAGGAGGGAAGAGGAGTAGGGAGGACCTTCAATTCTTCATCATATACCACCTGTCCAACAAACAAGTAAACGAAAAGATGACACCAACACACACACACACACACACACACACACACACACACACACACAAA